AATGGCACAAGAGACTCTTGCTTTTTAGAGAAGTGCCTATTATAGTATTTATAGAAAAGAGAAAGAGAATAAATATTACAACGATGAGATAATGGTTGAAGGTTGGCTGCAAGAGCTTGTCCAACCTCCACGCATTTACAATGCATTTTTGCATCTTGTCTATAAGAAAAAAGACATCATTAAAAGATCCGCCCCAGATATGGCAATATTATTTCATACAAGGACAGATTAATAGAGATTAATAGAGATAAAGTATAGAATCCTGAGTAAGAAAGTAGCAAGCACGATAAAGAGATGCAACCTTAGCAGATGCTAATTTTACAAGGGATTTGATATATGGTTTCCAAGAAAGATCGGAAGTAAGAGTTAATCCTAGAAGATGAAGGGTACATAACTCATTGAGTACATTACCATTCATAAATATTGGAAGATCTAGATGATTGCAACACCATTAAGGTGAAAAAATTTTTTATCAGAATTAAAGTTCACCAGCCATTGACAGCCCCATGCTGAAGCTGATGTGAGATCCTTTTCAAGCTCAAATGCCCCCTCCAAGCAATCAGAGAGTGTTGGCTTTTTATCAGGAAAAAAATAAATGGTAGTATTATCAGCGAACAATGTCACCTAAGATGTGATAATTTCTGGAAAAGATAAAAAATATGAAGAAGAGTGATGTTCATTGAGGACAACTTTTACACTACCATTAGTAAGAAAGAATTCAATAATCTTAAACAGGTCACCAGACACACCGTAAAAAGAGAGCTAATGGAGAAGAACAGCATGCCAAACTTTATCAAAGGCTTTGAAATGCTGAGAGCGATAGCCTTAGCCTCTCCGAATCCATCTAATGCACGATGAAACCTATCAGTTATTACCGTTAACAAATCAGCAGTAGAATGAGAAGATCCAAATAAATATTAATGATCAGAAAGTTATTAGATTCAAGGTGAGAGGTTAGGTGTTTGTTAATTAAAGACCCAAAAACCTTGTTTATGATAATAAGAAGACTAATATGACTGTATTTAAATGAGTCAGAATGCTCTATAGAATTATTGAAAATAGGGATAACAGATGCCACTTTCCAGCAAGATGGAAAACAAGACTCAGATAAGCATTTGTTAAATAGTTTTGAAAGTATAGATGACTGCTCCGGAGAACACTTCTACAAGACTATAACAGGTGTGTTGTCCGGACCACAAGGTATAGCTCTCTAAGCAGGAAATCACTTTAGATACAAGCTGAAGTGATACAAAGCTCAGCCAATAAATTAACTTGTTTGTCGGTTATATCAGGTAGAACACGACTAGTGGAATCAAGAGATGAGAAATTTTTAGCAAATAATTCAGCTTTGCCTTTAGGTGAGGTGACAATCTGAACCATACAAGAGAGATGGAATAACAGACTTACCCTTGTTATAGATACTGTTAAAGCTTCTCCAGAAGTCACTCTTGTGACTTCTGGAGAATTTTACAAGAATTTTTTAGTTGAAAAATGAGATTTTGTGACCTGAAAATAGCAGGCTTTGGCATTAGACAAAACCTTTTTACAATGGTTTTTAGCAGTAGTCAACAGACGTCTGTTTTCTGGAGAATTATTTTGCCAATAGATATGGAAGTAATGGTTTCAATTAGAAATTGTAGCAACACAATGTGTAAAAAGCACACTTGTCAGCAAGAAGACAAAAGATTTCTATACAAAGAAAACCATGAAATCAGTCCCAGTCAGCTTTACATAATTTAAAGCTTGCATAAGTTAGATATTTGCATACACTTTCAAACACATTTTTTTATACAAAAAGTGCTGTGACTCTTTCTTGACATTAACTTGGGTGAAATAGCTGCTGTGAGTTCTGTGCAAACATAAACGAATGAGTAACAAAAGAAGCAGCAGTCGCAGCAGGAGCAGCATTAAACTTGATATTAAAATATTATAGGATTGCCAATATTTAAATAATATTTTATCTACATTTATATAAATACATTTATTTTGCACTGCTTTGCTTTAAATTAATTTGAACATGTTGAATCTACTATTTCATCTGGTAACAAGCTCCATTTGTTCATAATTCTGTTGTTAAAGAAACAGTTTTTGACCACAGTTTTTAATTAGTTCTTTAAAGAGATTCCCAACTGCCGAGACAAGTTGTGCTCATATTAAAAAAAAATGTTAAAAAAAAACATTTGGGCTAAATTTTTTTGATTAAAACTAAATAATCAATGCACACCATTACGTTTAAAAGTTCACGTTTTAGTTGAAGCTTGCCGTCTCCATTGTTTTTTGGTTCTCAGAGTCTGAATAATGTTAGCCCCAATCTGCAAACTTGATAATTTATTCCATGCGTGTTTAATTCATAACAGTTTTAGTATATGACGTCATCGTTAAAGTTTTTCTTTCAAGATATCGTATTATTTTTTTGTCCATAATAATCAAGTTAATTGTATCACTTTTTACTAAATCCAAAAAAAAAGTTTTTGATGCAATAAAAAATTAAATTTATAAATATAAAAATTTAACATATAACGAATATTTACAGTAAAATGTACTGGTTTAAACTAAATATAAACTAGATAATAAAAGAATAATTTTACGCAAAAGCGTATAAATTAATTTAAACTGAATAAAAAACGAGCGACATATATAGTTATAGTATAATAGTTATAATATAAATATAAAAATGAAGAATCGCATTAATTTGTTTGCTACCAGCCAAACAAAAATCTTTTTATAGCAACCACACATTTTTTTGTATAACATTTTAATAGCATAACATTGACAATTAATTTAAATTTGATAATAATAAAATTTTTAACACACATCATTAAACAATAAGAAATGCAAAGTGCTTAAAACTATTGTTTTTGTAAGTAGTAACTAAAACATTAAGTCCAAAACAAACCTCATTTAATGAATAAAAAGAATATTTTTTCTTCAAAAGACTTTGGTAATTACTTAACTAAATACTTAACACTTCTACAAGTTAAATTTTACAGGGCCAATGCTGTTTTATTTTACAACTAAATTTTGAAGAAGTTTTTTTTATGAAGGATTATTCAAGATTTTTTAACTTTGCTAAGTAATAACTTTTTTATAATTACTCAATATAGCTCTTAATTTTTCTTGATTATATAGAGAATTAATTAAACCTTTAGAACAAACAAATTCTGTGTCTAGAATGGAAATTTATGTACAAAACAAGTTAAATTGTAAAGCACGATCGAAAGTCGCTACCAGTGGCTTGCGGTAGTGAAGAATTAAACCATAACTAAATGTAAATTAAACATAAAACGAACAACTCTATTAAACCATATGAACTAAATATAAAATGAAAAACCGCATCATACTGCCTTTATTTTTTCTCTGCCTGCGAACTCTACTTATCACAAAATATGTATAATTGTGTCATGATTTTGGCTGGCTTCTAAAGTAATAATAAAGCAAGTAAAAAAAAAATTATAAATGTAAAAATATATATATATATATATGCACATAATTTTTCACTAAATCACAAATATTTTTTGTGATTTAGTAAAAAATTATACAAATATTTGATTTTCTGATTGTAGTAGAAAAAATACTTATATCTTTTAAAAAAATAACAAAAAAAAAAACACTATCTTAAAAAGATATTGTGATGACGTCATATACCAAAACTGTTATGAATTAAGTCTGCGGATTGCTTCTAACATTATACAGACTCCGAGAACCAAAAAAAAATGGAGAAGGCGAGCTTCGACTAAAACGATAATTATAATTTTGTTAGTATGCATTCATTATTTAGTTTCAATCAAAAAAATTTAGCCCAAATGTTTTTTTAAACATTTTCTTTAATATGAACACAACTTGTCTCGGCAGTTGGGGATCCCTTTAACAAAATATCCCCTATGTCATCCTCTTGCTGGTTAACATAATGATTCTGTGTGCTAATGTATTTTATCAAAACCTTTGTGCTACTTTTGAATGAGATTGCTTCTGATTTTTCTTAAAATTAGGTTATATCTAAATGAGCATCTTTCTTCTTAAGTTCATAAGTAAGAATTTTTAGGGTTATTATAAACTAATTTAATTATATACAATCAAAAAAATCAGTTTGACAATAATATCAAAAATAAATTTAAGTGCTGCAAATATTCTTGAAAAACATTTGCTAAGCAATTGCCAACATTAAACAACCCGGCACACCTCAATATTAAAGAACTCGGCACACCTCAACATCAAACAACTTGGCACACCTCAATATTAAAGAACTCGGTAAACCTCAACATCAAACAACTTGGCCTACTTTAATACAAAATAACTTGGTTTACTTTAATAAAGTTTAAACATTTTTATTGTAAGTTTTGAAAGAAAATTAAGTCACACATGCTTGTGAAAACTATCGTAAGAATGTTTTAGATTGGTTTCATTTTCCTTTTGTAACCCTAAAACAATGTATCAATAAATTAAATATCCAATAACAAACTGAAAAATAAAATGGTAAAAACCTTTCATTTTAAACAAATGACAACAGTTGAGTAAAGAAAAGATGACTCAACATTGATTTTGATGAAGCATTTTGAACATTAATGTTTTATTTTATACATTAACCCATTGAGTCATTTCATTCAGTAAAGTGATGCAGCAGTAGAGTTCAACATAGTTCAAACTCAACTACATTTCTAGTAGTACCGAGAGTTAAACTCAGGTTAATGATAAATTTTTAACTACTAAACCTGTTATTTTACTTTAAAAGTACATAAAATCAATTTCTCCATAAATATGTACCTTATTTATTAATGAATGATAAAATGAAAAAAATACTCTTCATTAATTACTATTTTCTATAGTAATTATGATTTTCTTATAATTATGTATTGACAATTTAAATTCCAATAAGATTTTAAAACCATTTATGTAATGACGATTTAAATTCTGATAATATTTTATGTAATGACAATTTAAGATCCAAATTCCAGTTTTTATTATTAAACTTATAATTCCAAAACGAAAACAAAAAAACATACTAATTAGCTTAACAACACCATTTGTAATAAGTTCTTTGTTTCCTTTCATAATGTTGATCTCGGATTGTTCCACAAGCTCACCAATATGATCAATTCCATATACTTTTCCAGTATTTCCTACCTTATATTAGTGATTTTGAAAAATGAAAATTAGTATATTTATATTTAAGAACACAAAAATGTAATAACAAATCATGGTAACAACAAAATATCAATCATAAAATAAATTTTCTAAATAAACTTCAAAAATATACCATATAAGCCATACATGCAGTAAGATAACCACTTCCTGAACCAACATCAAGGGCAACACTACCTTCTGTAAGATGATTTTCCAGATGTTGCAAAGCATGTACATGCTAAAATGATAATTTTTAATTTAAAGCTTTGACATGGTTTTTCTTATAGCATAAAAATCTTGGTATTTCCTTAGGTATATCCTTGGTATTTCCTAAGGTATATCCTTGGTATTTCCTAAGGTATATCCTTCGTATTTCTTAAGGTATATTCTTGGTATTTCCTAAGGTATATCCTTGGTATTTCTTAAGGTATATCCTTGGGGCAAAATGCATAAACATCAGCAAAAAAGATTGAGAATTTGGTTAAAGGTTATGTCTCTTAAAACAGAAAATACGTAATTTTTATTTTAGCAAAGTTTTTACCTCTCAAACTAAGTACAGTATTTTTTCACAAACATTTGTTAAATTTAAATATTATTTTTCTATGATAAACACCATAACATTATGCTTATTATAGCTTCATGAAAACCAAAAATATCAAAAAGTGCAATAAGCTTTGAAAAGAAAAAAGCTTTTAAAAAGGAGAGAGATTTTTTGAAGAGCAGTAAAAATCATTTGTAGGTCATGTGTTATCAAATCAGATTTCATCTACATCAAGTCTAACCAAGTCAAACCATTTATTAAGTCAGACTAAATAATTAATATTCTATCAACTTTTAACTCCAAAACATGAACCTTGATCAAGACTGCTGCGTGAAAGTTAAACAAATTACTACTAGAGACATGGTGAGGAGGTTATATCTCATATTTCATTCCCTATTAAGAGCCATTAATGCTAAAAATCTTGCATGCCATTAACTTTATATTGTTGCTACCATGGTTACTTTTTAACTTTAGATATTGCTTCACTCCTTGTATACTTAGTTTCATTTTATGTTATTTTTAGAGGCAAATAAAATGCAAAGATTATCTATCATTAATTAGGCGTTATTTTTTATAGTAGAATTAAATTGCTAAAATTGATTAAATTAAAGCAAGACTCATAATGAAAATTGAAAAGTGTGCTTGTTCTGTCTGAAAAACTGTTTACTGCTTTCCAAGCAGTGCAAATATACTAGTTATACTATACCAATTTCAACCACACTGGTACTAAAAGTAGTTTTCAAATTGTGCAGAACTACTTTGCACAGAAAATGGTAAAAAAAAAAAGGTAAAACAGGAAACAGTTAAAAAACCCATTTCTCTGCTCTTGATAAAAAAAAATTTAATAAAAAAGAGTCATTAAAAAATTATTAACAATATTGCTACAATATTTGTTTTGTTTTCCAATCAGGGATCCTTTTACCAGCTTCTCAACCATTTTTGTGAACTTTTGCCAAATGTACATCATAAAAAATTGGTGAGATTTTTACACTTTAAGTCAATAGATGCTTTAAATAGGAAATCAACATTAATATACAATATTAATACTTGATAGCCAAACAAAAACTCAGTTGTCAGTTAGGCATAAAATATTACTTAAAAAAATCAATTTGAAAAACAGTTATTTAAAAATAGGTGTATGGAGTAATTTACTTAACAAAAAAGCATTTTAAAACAATGAAAAAATAAAAAAAAACATACCATATGAGGAGCACTGATTGTAACTGAATAACCTACATACATACATACATAATATATATATATATATATATATATATATATATATATATATATATATATATATATATATATATATATATATATATATATATATATATATAATAGATTTTTTACATATAAGGTATTATATATATATATATATATATATATATATATATATATATATATATATATATATATATATATATATATATATATATATATATATAAACATTAGACAATATTGTTTTGTCCTTCAGGACTCATCAGTAATGTTCTGATTTTATGGGACTTTACATATAAGGTATTTTATTTATTTATATATATATATATATATATATATATATATATATATATATATATATATATATATATATATATATATATATATATATATATATATATATATTATATATATATATATATATATATATATATATATATATATATATATATATATATATATATATATATATATATATATATATATAATACCTTATATGTAAAAAATCTATTTATAAAAATAACCTATGTACTGCAGTTACCATAATTACTGTACCAGGTCTTGTAGTGAATAAAAAATGTCTAACGCATTTGCGTAACAGAATTTTTGATGTCATGAAATTCTTTTTACTTTTGATATTTACCATCATTAGCTTTTTTGAACTAACTAAATTACTGCAAAACCAGTTCAATTGAATAATTAGCTCAAAGCAATGTAGAAATATTATTATGTAATGTTATCAAATGTTTAATTAGATTCTGGACTTTTATTCTACTTTTTATAAAATAAAAAAGTGAAATAAAAGCTTTAAATGTTTAAACAATAACTCCAGTGAAAAAATAAAAATATGCTTAAAAATATCTAGATAGTTATTTAAATATTACCAAGCAAAAAAGTTTTTACTAAAACATAAATAGCATAGTGTAGTTTAAAATCAATGTCCACACAGATAAAATGCTCTACACTCGATGCCTTATTGGTTGTACTGAACTTACGTATAAATCCCTATTATTGAACTTTTGTAACAATTTAATTGGATTTAATTTTTATTTTTTGGATAAATAAAGATGAGAACAAACCAAATAAGACTATGTATAAAAAAATTACAGCATATTATTGCAATCGAGCTAAATTTTAATTTAAATTTATCATTATAAAATTAAAGTAAAGTAGCCATAATAATTTAGATTTTAAGGTTTAAATTAAAAACACTATTTTGTGAAAAATTAAATTCTGATTAACAATATGCAAAAACTTATGATTTATTATTAATACTACTTAAAATAAATTGAATTAAGCCTATAAGTATCCAATAAAGAAAATTTCAGTACCAGATCTTGTTTTTTTGGGTGTTCAAATTTATGAATATATATATATTCTTGCGAAAGTGCTATTAGACCAAGCCTTCCTAGGAAAGGCGAGCGGGTTTTTTTCTCGTATGACCACACGCGATTACACTATTTTAGAAAACGTAAACACGGTTGTTTGCAAAATAATAATGCAGAAAAAGTTTCAAAAGCAAAAAAAACATAACTAACAAAATAAAAAGAGATTAAAATATAAAAAAAATACAACACATTAATAATTTGTGTACTGTTTTTATTATTGTTTCTTTAGAGTTACATTCAGCAACAAAAATTAGATAAGGTGAAGCAAAAAAAAAAATTTTAAAAAATGATTTTCTTTTTCTTAATTTTTTTTAAGAGGATAGCAAAAATACAAATTGCAATGTGTTTGTAAAATTATTTATGTAATTTTAATGTAACAACAAGGGTTGAATTAAGCAAATGCAAAACGCAAAATCTGGAAAAATATCTAGTATTCAAAATTTTAGTTTATACAAAACCGTGTTCCTTGTTTTTAAGGGAAGAATCAACTTAAATTTGGTAGCGAAAAAATAAAACAATAAACTTATGATTACAAAAGTAATAACACTCTAGTCACTAACTGCATTACAAAAGTAATAACACTATAATAGTGTTATTATTTTTATAACGCACTTATAACTTTTAAAATTCATTCTTTGTTCAAGCAACATTAGTATTCCCATATTTTAATTAAAGTAGAAAAATATCTAGAAGAACAAAGTGGATGTTTAAATAATATTAAAACTAAAGTAACTTATAAAAACGTGACAAACAACTTTATGAAAACGTGTCGTATTAAAAGTTTAGCATTATGAGAAACGTTACTAATAGACCGTAAAAACGCGCGTTAATTTTAAAATTAACCAATAAAAATTTTTTATTGGTTAATTTTAAAAATAACCCGCGTTTTTACGTAATGTTTTTCATAATACTTTTTATAAAGTACTTTTTTATAACGTTGTTTATGTGATATGTGAAAGTTCCTGAAATTTTTAATAATATTTGAATATCCGCTTTATTTTTTCTAGATGCTTTTCTACTTTAATAAATGTTTGGAATTAATAATGTTGTTTGAACAAAGAATGAACTTTAAAAGTAATAAGTGCTATATAAATGTAATAACACTATTATAGTTTTATTACTTTTATAATGCAGTTAGTGACTAAAGTGTTATTACTTTTGTAGTCGTAAGTTTATTGTTTTTGTTTTGTTTTTTGTAACTTTCTCGCTAGCAAACTTTTAATAATTTGCTCCTTATAAACAAAGTACACAGCTTTGCATGAACTAAAATTTTAAAGACCTAATATTTTACCAGAGTTTGCAAACGCGATCGTATAATTTAACTCTTGATATAAACTTGTAACATTATAATTATACAAATATATTTTACAAACAGATGAGGATACATATTTTCTCTTTCCTCTTTAAAAGAAAAAACACATAAGATATGGGAAAGTCATCCTTTTTAACCCCTAAAACAGTTTGTTTTTTTTGCTTTGACTTAATAAATTTTGTTGACGATAATAATAACCACTAAGAAAAAACAAAAATAACATTTAATTTTTGTTGCTTAAAGCATATTTAAACTACCATAAAATAAAAACTAAAGAAGATATTCAACACACTTTTTTTTATTTGCAAGAAAAATCTTTTTTAAACAAATCTTACAAATTGGATGGCATACTAAGACATAAAATAGTATATAAAAATGTTATAAAACATAACAAAAAATATCAATAAAAAACTACAATATATAAAAAATAGAAGCAACAAAAATTACATCTAAGCTAGTATTTAAAATATTCCCCACAAGCTATTTTGCAAACAGCATATCTTTTTTGCATCAATTTTACAAGATTGTTAAAGATTTTGTTTGGAACTCTTCTTCAAATGGTATCTACTTCTTGCTTTAGGCTATTTATGAATCGTATTCTCACTTTGATTAATTCTTTGTCCATCCAAGCCCAAATAGATTAGATTGGATTTATATCTGGTGATCAAGCTGGCCAGGGTATTTTGATCACCAGGTATAAATCTACTTTATTTTTTTTCATCCTTTTACTGTATGAGATGTGTGGACAGGTACCAAATCTTGTGGAAACTGTCACCATTTGTTTAGATCAATCACATGCCCACTGATGACACCATGCAGTTCTCCAGCATCTCTATATATGTATGCTGGTTGATTCGACCTGTATTAGTGTTACACACTCCTACCCTGTTAAAATTAAAGCAGCCCCAAATACCAACACTGACTTTGCCACTTTACAGCCTCGGTACAACAAAGCGATTACTATACTTTTCCAATTTAAATCTTTTAACAAGAACTTTGCTTTTTCTATTTACTACTTCAAAATTACTTTCATCACTAAAAATTACTAGCTTCCACTTCTCTAAAGACCACCCAATTCTCTCCTTTCACCACCTAAATCTTGTGAACCAATATCTGGTCGCCAACATAGATTTTCTAACAGCTGCATAGACACCAATTTTTTTCCTTTGTAAATAGTTATAACTGTATTTGACGAAATAAATTTTTCGAGGTTTTTGTTGAATGCGTGAGTTCACAACAACTTAACATCAAATTGGCTCTTAATTGACATAATATAAGCCTACTGTCTTATATTACAAGTAAGAGACTGATCCCACCTGTTGTTTTAAATGTCTTTAGAATATATCTGATGTAATTTTCTAAACTTACTTTTAATTTTCTTGCTATTTCTCTATTACTGATGAGCCATTCTTCGTACCTATTATTTTCCACTTTGTTTACGATGTTTTATAAAAAGAAAATGTACTTAATTTTTTACTACCCCTATATTTTTTGAAAGCACTGTGTGTGTGTATATATATATATATATATATATATATATATATATATATTATATATATATATATATATATATATATATATTATATATATATATACATATATATATATATATATATATATATATATATATGTATACATATATAAATAAATATAAATATATATATATATATATATATATATATATATACCCTTATAGTGTAGTCGAAAGAGCGTTTTAATGTAAAAAAAGTCTCTTACGACTACAATTTTAATTACCTCATCTCTTAAGCTGTTTTTGATTGTCATCGAAATGTCAAAGCAATTAATTTATGCGGAAGTACATTAAATTTAATTGTTTTTTAAAAAACCGCAATTATAACGACTAGAAAGTTTTTTTTAATTAGTGGTGTTTTTGTTATTGATTTAATAAAAAACATTTTTAAAACATGCGTAAATGTTGCTACATCGACTATCTTATAGCCTGACTCGCAACGGAGTGCTGCTACATCGACTGACAAATAGCCTGACTCGCAACGGAGTGCTGCTACATCGACTGACAAATAGCCTGACTCGCAAGGGAATGCTGCTACATCGACTGACAAATAGCCTGACTCGCAAGGGAGTGCTGCTACAACGACTGACAAATAGCCTGACTCGCAAGAGAGTGCTGCTACATCGACTGAGGGTTTGGTTTGGCCAGGCAGTCTATCAATTAAAAAAAAAAATTTAATTTTTAAATTTTTAAAACTTTTTCTGGTCTGGTTTATTAACGCGCTCTTTAAAACTACAGTTTATGGGAAATTTTTTTTGATGCCACGCAAGAGACATGCA